TTTGGCTGAAGCTCATCTTCCTTAACAGAGGCATTAGCACAGCATCCAGCATCTTTTCATAGACTTTAAGACCTTCTACAAAATATTGGCAGTAAAAATCCGCTCTACGTTCTAGCCATCCTGTCCCTGCCCCAGAATAACCTACTGTTTACTCGAGCAAATTTGCATGGGGATGTCAGCTTCGAGCTACTACTGGACCCCAGGATCACTTGCTTGGGGTTTAGATCTAAAATGGCCCCCCACACCTGAAGTGTTTAGAGGGTGACTGAATAATGGGGCATCATAGCTGACTGTTAGGAGATGGGGTCTCTCCTTAGAAAAGGCAGGTCACTGGGGGCATAGCCTGGGAGGGTTGTGTCTTACTTGCCGGATCCTGCCCTTGTTCTCTGTTTCCTGTCCACCCTGATGATCACAGCTTTCCTCTGCCAGACCCTTCTATCGTGCTGCTTCTACCTGCAGTTAACTGACTATGCAAGGACAGAAACTTACAAAATGCAAGCCAAAATAAGCCTCTCTTCCTTTAAATTGCAGATGTTGGGCGTTGTGTCTCAGAGGAGGAAAGATATTGGGAAATCACAAAGCTATCACTATTTAACTTAGCAGAATATATATTTTATTTATTTGTTTGTTTGTTTGTTTATTTTTGGGGTGCCAGGGATCGAACTTGGGACCTTGCACTTGTGAGGCAGGCAGTGGAACCACTGAGCTAAATCCCCAGCCCTAACTTAATAGAATACTACTGTCATTGTGTTAGAACTTATTATATGGCAGCAGTTTGTTTACTTGTCCTTTCTCTTGTCTGAATTCCAATTGTGCCCTGACAGTTATAGTAGTAGCCCTGTCACTGGGTAAGCTGTTCAATCATACTGTACCTCAGGTTCCACAGCCACAAAAGGAGATAATGGCATCCACTTCCCAGAATGATAATGAAGGCTAAATTTCATATTTGACTTTCTCTTCCCTATTCATGGTCACAAAATAATTATTTGTGAATTATTTTACTTAGTGTAATTTTCATTAAATTTCCTTTGGGAGACTGCGCTTGAAGATTTATTGTGATTTTATCAGACTGAGCTGAGGATAGTGTCTGTAAACTTGTGAAGAGAAATTGAAACCAGGAAACGGTTGTTGAGTCTTTTATGAACACCTGAGGAATATTAGGATGTTTCCAGTTTCACATTTGGATGTGTTCTTGGAATTGTCCTCTGTGTCCCTTCCAAGATGGCTACAAGTGGATTTGAATCCCTCCCTAGAATCATAGAACAGGGATACTGGATGCTCCTTGTCGTCCTCTAGTGTCCTGAGCATTAGGGTCACATATCCTTTACTGGAAGTGTTTGTTAGTCCTTTACTGGATGTGTTACACTGAGCACGCCGATGCTGTTAGGTGCGTCATTTAATTGGTAGAGGCTTACTTTACACCCCAGTTGGCCACAGCTCCTTGGGGGTGTGTGTGTGTGTGTGTGTGTGTGTGTGTGTGTGTGTGTCTCCTGCTCTCACAGGGTCCATTACAGTGTCGTGCATGGGCATAGTGAGCTGCCTACTGATTGATAGCTCTAAAATTATGTTTGTCCCACAATTGTGAAAATGACATTTCTGAAAGGGAAGGTGTTGAACAGCCTTCTCTAGAGATCTTTATAAATCATGTAGCATTCTCACCTGATTGGGGTGAGGAAAATGAGGTCTTCAGGGGCAATAGAACAGTCTCTGGTTCCAAAATTGGAATTATTTGAACTTTAGTTTGAATGTACATTTGAAAATAATGTGTTAAAAGTATGACAAGATATTCTATTCAGACAGGAGGGTGGGCAAGCCAAAGACGCAGGTAACTGGAAAAATGCTTTCCAGTTCTGAAACTAGAAGAGAAAGGCAGAGGGCAGTGCCGAGAGCAAGAGCCCAAAGCCCAGGGAAAGACAGTCTGCACATTTTGCTGGTTCTTGCAAATCCAATGAACTAGGTAGAAGAGAGTATTAGCTTTTTATCACTGTCACAATAATATCAGAAATGTAGGGACTGAGGATGACATGAATATCTTATTGTCTTAGTACATTTTGTGTTGAATACCTGAGACTGGGTAATGATAAAGAACAGAAATCTGTTCTCTCACAGTTCTGGAGGCTGGAAAGTCTAAGGTCAAGGTGCTGACATATGGATTGGGCCTTCCTGTGCCCTTACATGGTGGAAGGCAGAAGAGAGCTTCTACTCCTGTAATCTCTTCCTCTTGTGGTGTTGTTCCATTTGTGCGTGGGGCCTCATGCCCTAAACATCTTCCCAAGGCCCCAGTCCCCACACTGCTGCACTGAAGGTTAAGTTGCCAACACGTGAATTTCGGGGGACATTCAGACCATTGCACTTACAGTTCTTTAGTTCAGAAGTCCAGTGAGTCTCATGAGCTATAATCAGCTTCTCCCTAGGCCATGTCCCTGGTGTCTGAGATTATAAAAGCTCCAGCTTTGCACCCTAACCTGCTTTTCCTTTTCTCTTCCTCCCCTCAGCAAATACCAATTCTATTCTGGCCATTGCTCAGCTCCAACATTTTGGAGTTATTCTTAGTTCCTCTCTCTTATAAGCCCCATCCAGCAAATCCAATTGGCTCTACCTTCAAAATTACACCCACAATCTGATTGTTTTATACCATCTCTCGCCTGGATCGCTCTGTAGTATTTATAACTGTTTCTTTTTCCTCTTATGTCCAACTTGTATCTGTCCTCAGCATAGGTGCTGAAACACATGCAGAACTGCGGTTCCTCCACACTCTGCAGTCAGTTGTCCCATCTCATTCACAGTAAAAGCCAAAGATGGCCGGAGGGGGCAGCCCTACCTCGGTCTCCCTGAGGTGCTGCTTGGTCACCATTCATCAGCCCTCTGCCTGCCCTAGCTAGGGATCATTGTGAAGGTAGATTTCACATTACACAGAGGCACCTACTTCTTCTGAGTTCTTTTGCCCATTTGGCTGTCTTTCATCCCTGCTGTGATAGTCACAGGCTGAATTGATGCCTTTTTATTTTTGCCTCCCTCAAAAAGTTGATAGAAATAGAGTTCTCTGTAGGGGGTTCAACTCAGGGTCATTTTCTGGTTCTGCTGCTCTCACATCCAGTCAGACCAATAACTGCAGAGGCAGCTGCAAACCAGATGTCAGGGTGCGAGGAGAGGGCAGATGTTCTGAGAAGAAAGAATGAGGTGGGGTGGTTCCTATTTTTCGTTAGCCCGGCAGTCTTCCGACACCCTCTGCTGGGTCTCAGTGTCCCTGTGGCCTACCTTCCTCCTCTTCTGCATTTCCCCTTGGCTGTAGCCTTACTATCCACGCCATTCCCCTAAGGAGACCCTGAGGTGTCCCGGCTCCTGCCCATGGTCTGCAGGGCTCAGTTACATTCCTGGGGATGTTGTGTGGTAGCCAGGCTTCTCTGAGAACATGTGCTTCTTACTGAATTCAGCAGTTCATGGGAAAATGACAGGCAAAGCCTTTCCTCAAAGGACAGCAGTATAGGGACTGTACTACCATGCTTCTTCTTGCACTGATCTTGGTACTTAGATGGCACAATGCATTTAAAAAATAACATTTTCCTATGAATGAATCTAATTTCTCATTCTTTATGGCTGAGTAATATTCCATTTTATAGAAAAACCACATCTTTATCCAGTCTCCAACTGATGGGCAAATGGGCTGTTTCCAAGTGTTAGCTATTACACACTGTGCTGCTATAAACATAGGTGTGTGTATATATCACTGTGATATGATTTTTTAAATTCTTTTGGAAAGATACCCAGCAGAGGGATGGCTGGGTCCAATGGGATCTCCAGTCCCAGCTCTTTGAGGTATCTCCATATTGATTTCCACAGTGGTTGCACCAGTCTGCACTCCAACAATGGAGAAGGGTTCCTTTCTCCCCACAACCCCGCCAACATTTGTTATTGTGTGATTTCTTGATAGCAGCCATTCTTTGTGGGGTGAGGTGGAATCTCAGTTTTGTTTTCATCTGCATCTCTCAAATGACTAGTGATGTGGAACATTTTTTCATATATTTACTTGCTGTTTTTGCTTTGTCTCAGAAATTGTTCATTTCAGATGCCCATTTTTGAATCGGGTCCTTATATTTAGGGGGGCTGGTTGTTTTGAGTTCTTTATATTTCTAGATAATAGTCCTTTGTCTGAGGAGCAGCTGGTAAAAATTTTTTTCCACATTGTAGGTTGTCTCTTAGTTCTGTTGATGGTTTCTTTTGCAGTGCAGAAGCCTTTTAATAAGATGAGATCCCAGTTGTTGATTCTTTCTGCTAGTTCCCGTGCTACTGAGGATTTGTTCATAAAATCTTTTCCTATGCCTATGTCTTCAAGAGTTCTGCCTAACATCTTCCAGCATTGATGATATACTTCTAAGTGAAATAAATAAGTCACACACATGTAAATACCAAATAGTTTCTCTGGTGTGAATAAACTATAATAGTACATAAGGTCCTAATGAGATAATGGACAATGTGAAATAGGAAGAAAGGGGCTAAAGGTGTAGGGAAAGTGGGAAGGGTAGGGGAAAGGTAATAAGGGAAAAGAAAAAAATATGAGAAAATGAAAAAATGGAAAGGAAGTATTTGTAAATGGGGAGGGGAGTAGGGGGTGAAGGGAGGGCAGGGACAAGGGGAAAAAATGAGAACCAAGACCTGTCATGTAAGGGTACAAGATCCCAATGATGAATGTAACTGTACTGTATACCTAAAATGTACCAATAAACTCAATGAGGAAAAAAAGAGAGGTCTCTAGAGAAACAATGGAAAAAAAATAACAACAATGAAAAACTGGAATAACACCTTTAAAAAAGTTATGAATGTATCAGTTGATAAATCGGTCACATATGAATAAACCCTAGAAATATACACATCTTATTATTGCTGGAATTTTATATCCGAATAGTCAAGGAAACAGAATGGGGCTGAATCGGCCAAGGGGCATTTTAGGACAGCTGAGGTGGCAGTGGGTTGATGTGTTGTGTCCTGCTTTTGTCTGATAGGTCATTGCTTGTGAACAGCAGTATGACTCTTCCTATGATGCTCGCTGTGACGTCTGGTCCTTGGGGATCACGGCGATTGAACTGGGGGATGGAGACCCTCCCCTCTTTGACATGCATCCTGTGAAAACGCTCTTTAAGATTCCAAGGTAGGACACACGATGGCGCCCTTGGCTCATTAGTGCTTTGGGAAAGTGTCCTTAGAGGGGCAATAGTTTCTACGCAATTTCTCTCCAAACCTGAGAAAACCTGACTGCAAAATATATTTCCTTTGGGGGGGGGAAGTTGTGTGTGTGTGTGTGTGTGTGTGTGTGTGTGTGTGTGTGTGTGTAGTGGGGAGTTGGGTATAGGGAAGGATGTTCCTGAAAGATAACATACCCCAAAGAATAATGGAACCATGTAACAATTACATAATTTCAGCACTGCAATTTTTCTGAGATGTTCATTTTTTGGTGCTTTTCACAAGAAGAATACAAATGCAATTTAGGATTGGGTAATCTGTGTAAACACTGGTGCTTTCTTTTTAATTATGTACTTTTGCAAGTATTTGGGAAATGGGGGGGGGCAAAATACTCAGAGTGCTGTATTCACTCAAACCAGCACTGAAATATGTCACAAAAATGTAGCATCAGTCATTTCTCCTACTCTTCACTCCTTAATTTCTGACTCAATGGGAAATCCTGACACAAGAAGTGTGTTTGAAGGGTATTTAAATGCAAGTATATTTCCTGGGCTATGTATTCATTAGGGGTTTGTAGGAGAGGTTTGATTTATTTTCATGGGAATGGGGCTGATGTATGACCACCTTGAGGCTCTAGTTAGGGAAAATGAAGCTTTTTTGGGCCCATCAATCCAGCTAGGGTACTGATTGATGGATTGTTTATACTTTCCAAATTTCTCTTTCAAAGGAAGGCTCTGGACAGGCTGGGAGCCATTTAACTGCTCTAACAATACAAGTATTGACCTTTCCTTATCTGCACAATCACACAGCTATCACAGCCTTTAAAAATTTCCCCTGATTGCAATTTGCATTTCTGATTAGGCCTATTTATATGCAGATGAGGCTCTCAGGCGTTCTTCATCATAATGTTATCAGTTTATAGCTAATCCGGAAGTGAACAACCCCCAGCCACTAATCCAAAAATGATTCCCACCCAAGTCTGGGTTAGTCTTTTTGCCTCTTCCAAAATACAAAAAAAACGGGTCCTGGTGTTTTGAAGAGCAGAGGAAGCTCTTAGCCTTTTCAATTAATAGTTCTGTGAGCATTCCAAAGCATGGAAGAATACGGAAGCCAAAAGCAGCATTGTATTCAGTAATACACAATATAAAAGGAACTGAGAAATAGGATCTGGAATGATTGTGTGTGTGTTTTGACTTCCAGGCAACACAGTAACCCACTATTCAGGATTAAAGTGTGGCTTCTGATGAGCAAAACAGACATACTTTTAATACGAGATCATCTACTTGGGTCTATTTATTTTCTGTTAGTGTGCATTTGTGTACAGACCAACTGTTCTAAAATTTCATATGATAATAAATGTGTGGCCGCTAAGAAGGAGCATGCTCTAGTGAGTGTTTAAATGGTCCCTTCCATTTCAGGGACTCCACTTAGCTCACTTGTGTGCCCAGCCAAGCCTCCGATCTCTAATTAACTCTGTTCTCTCACTCGACTCGCCTCTTCCATCTTGGGAGAAACCTCCAGATCTGGACAGAAATAAGGAAGCCCCCGCTGCCTGCATCAGGGCAAGTGAGACCCAGGAACCAGGCAATTGCAGTGAAAAGATCCTTAGAGCAAAGTAGGCTGAGGCTGCTTTCCTCCTCTTGTGAAGCTCTGGTCCTGTTACCACTTTGCCAGTGATGGCTGATCTGATGGAATGGCGTGGTGGGGTGGGGTAGTGTGGGGTGGGTAGGTTTCAACAGTAATGGGCCGGCAGGTTTGCAGTGCACTTGTGTGTGCTCAGCATTTGGCACTGTCACAACCCAACTGGGCTGGCCTGACCCTCATGGGCAGGAAAGAGAAAGTTTTATTTTTCACATATTGGTGTGTCTCGCTCGTATAACTTTTTTTCCCTCCCCTGAAACCAGGGGAAGATTTGTTGGGTTTCTGTTTACCACGTGATTTACTTAAAAATTATCCTGTCCATTAGAATTGCAGTTTTGGTTGTCCAAGTGCAGGTGTGATGAGGTATGCACGTGTGAATGTGTATACTATTTTAATTTTGAGAGCTAAAAGCATATCTTTTTCTCAGAACAGCTCTTGATGGAGGATGGGTAAACTAAACACTTACACATTTTAAAAAGCTACTCAAATTATTTGCTTCTGTGTTACATGGGGATCTCTCTTTCTCTCTGTCTCTTTCTATCTCTTTTCCTCTCTTCCTTTTCCTAATAGAGAAAAGCAGATAACAGTGACAAAAATCTTTTAATCATTTGGCTTCAGAATTTTGTCTTTTCTATTTGAATGCATTTTCAGTGTTTTAGAATTATTTTCAATTAAACATTGAGGTCCCTTGCCGGGTACTCTGGGAGCCAGAATGCTGTGGTTTCCTCCTCTGAATGTCCTCACTCGCTGCTTCCCTGGAACCCTTTCTTATTGGAAATATATCCACTACCAGTTATGGGAAGAAAAGAAAATCTTGACGGAGTCAGGGAAAGAAGTGGCTTTCACAGGTTATAGAGGATTTGAGAGTTAATGAAGTCCTGGTTACCTGTGAGATGAGGGCTTCAGATGTCAACAAAAGTGGCAGTGACAGGTTCTGTGGGCACAGAGAGAAGATGAAAAGCAGCACCTGGCTGTGGCTGATCTGTCTGTTTACAGACTCCTTGCTCTTCCCACTTGTGCCCCCGCCTGCCTTCTCCTTTCTCCTGACCTTCAAATTAGAAGATGACACACAGGGTAATTGTGACCTGTCTTTGAAATACTGTGGGACACAAAATCTATCCTATGCTGCGAACACATGGAAATTATCTGCTGATTGGCAGAGCATTTGCTATTTGCTGAACCCTACAGCGTGTGTCATCTTGTCTTAATGCCTTTGCTCCAAATAAAAGTCACCCTTCCTGGCTGCTGTGGCACTGTCTGCTGCTATTTTTCTCCAGTATTTAGAAGAGAGTGAAAACCATTTCTCTGAATATCAACGCATTCAACTCTTCGTGACTCTTTCTTGAGGACTCTGTCAACAGCAAATTTCAGAGGCTAAGCAGTATCTTGCAGATGACCTGTGTATATATTTTTCCTTAAAAAGAGATCTGGTTCATAGACATAATTGCAAGAACCAGTAGAGTTAGGAGAAATGCGCAATTATGTTGGTCTCTTGACAACTAGATATCTTTCTTTCACTTAGGGTCTTTGACTAATGTCTCCTTCAGCCTCCACAGAGGGCCTCAGAAGGGGATGGGGACCCTTGTGAGTGTCTTTACAGGAGGAACACTGAAAACCACACTGCCTGCCCTTTTATCCAAGGCCGAGTTGCCGCTGACTTTGCCCAGAGTCTCCTGGCATCCTGAATGCTTCCACTTTGTTCCTTGTGGAAAAATGCAATCTATTTTCAAAATCCCTGGCAGAAATGCCTCTGGCTGAAGCACCTGAGTCCAACTGGCCTGAATATTCCAGTCCTAAAGGCTGTGATTACCCCTTCCTATGGAGAACTTTCTCTGCAGTATTCAATTTAAGAAAATAAGAGCATGTGATAATCTCCCCTTCACATTTCGGCTCGTTTCCCTCACTAAATCTAGGTTGTTCCAGTCATCTGTCCCCAACCACATGAGCTTCCTAGGGCTGCTACAGCAGACAAAAACTGGGTGGCTTACCACAACAGACTTTTATTCTCTGGCAGTTCCAGGGCCAGAAGTCTAAAGTGAGTAGCTCCATAGGGTTATTCTCCCTTCGAAGTCTCTAGGGAAACGTTCTTCCTTGGCCCAGACAATTTCTGGTGGTCTCTGGTGCTCCTGAGCTTGTGGCAGTGTGACTTCAGTCTCAGGCTGCATCATCATGGCCATCTCCCCCATGTCTCTGGGTCTTCTGTCCTGTCTCTTTCAAGATCATTAGATTTAGGGTCCATCCGAATCCAGGATGAATTCATCTCCAGAGCCTTGCCTTAAATAATCGTATTTGCAAAGACCCTTATTCCCAATGAGGTTACCTTCTCAGGTTCTGAGTACAGGTGTTTTAGAGGAACCATCATTCAACTCACTACACACCAAACCGATTTTCACGTCTACCCGATTTCCTGAGAAACTGACTGGAGGGCAAATACAAGACAATTAGCTCAGCAATGAAGGGAAAAATAGTAATAGCTAAGATATTCCAGGTGCTAACTATGTGGCAGGCATGGTGCCCTGCGTTTCGCTAACATGTGCATTTACTTCCTGCAGTGACTGCAGGAACTGCATATGTGACACCATCAGCCTTTTTTCCAGATGAGAGGCTCAGAAGCCCACTGAGGCTCAGCAGCCAGCACCAGGTGCTGCCCTTGCAGGGGAAAAATGATTTGAATCTGAGATGTTTGACTCCAAAGCCCACAAGTTTTGCCGCTACATTGAAAAGTGAAAGGCCGTCCTTAAATTGTACTTAATACTTGATGAATTATGTGCTGAGCTTTGAAGGGGCTGGCGTATACAAATAGGGTAGTCTGACCTTTTAGAACCTCTCACTCCAGAATCCTTCCTGGCTCCTAATTTTAAACTGACACCATCAACTTGAAAGTTAGAATTTATATTAGCACCAGTGATTGTGTCAATTAAGGAAACAATGAAAGAAAATCAAATGTCATCATAGAAGAAACGAACATCCTTTGTTCATTGACTCACCACCCCAACCCCAGAAATGCTTTGCTTTGCCAAGCGCTCCTTCAAGCAGCTGTCTCTTATTTCCGAATTTGGAACACTTAAGATGAGTGTTTGCAGTAAAGCTTTGCAGAATGTGCTGTGTAAAAGCGGCAGGGTACTTTGGGAGAGCATTCTTGGTTCCCATGCCCATGCCACTTTCCTCGCAGACCTGTGCCCGCCATGCCAGGCTGACTTCTGATATAGCCAGCATTGACTTCTCCATGGTCCTCCTCTTCTTTTCCTGTTCTTTCAGTAGAAAAGCTTTCTCTGGGATCTGGGGGAGCTAGGAGTCTGTTTCTGGCATCTTGAGCTAGAATGCATT